ACCTGACCAGGGTGACCTGACCCGGGTGACCTGACCCGGGTGACCTGACCAGGGTGTCCTGACCAGAGTGACCCCGCCTTTAAGTAGGTCAAAGGAACCGAGAAAAACTGTAAATCAACTGATTATCATGATTATGACTAAAGTGATTCCCAAGTTGTCTTTTCAAAGACATAAAATAAATTAAATTATGATTAACGACTTTCGATTTTCCATGAAAGTGTTTTGAAGAGAATATAAACTGTTTTGATCACCAATGTAATCAGAATAATGTGACAAAGTGTTGCAGCAGGGGGATGTTGAATCATGTGAAAGTGTCAGTAGGAGGCAGGAAATGGAAAAGAGAACTAGTCACTGAGGTTTTCAGGAAGCAAGAAAAGGTCGAGTTTATTTGAGTCACACATTTCAGACAGCAGGTCAAAGTGTTTCACACCATAAAACTAATGCATTTCAGATGATCTCAGTCTATTCAGTGGCTTCTCAGTTCAGCAGAAACTGGTGCTGCTGGATCTAATAATCACTTTTACCAGCAACGTTTGATACATAAAACCTAAACATTAAATTGGATTGATAGTAATGTGATCGTCAACGGGTGAGAGGAGGAAGTTTCTGAAAGTCCTGAACACTTTAATGAACATAAATCAACCAGTAATTGATCATTTATGCTGTTTGGATTATTTCATTCTCCAGGAAAGTAACAACAAAGTTACTATTTATCCAACAAGTTTTAGCTAAGATTATATAAATCTGTTCAGATTATGCCAAGAATCATCCTGTTTATGAAAGTTTAAATATAATTTTTCGGTTAAATAAACAAATAATATTTCTCATTAATGCAACGTTTCCTCCCGCTGCACTGTAATACAGTGGGAGGAAACAAGAGAGGTGGACAGTCAAAGTAAAGGTCAAATGTTCATCAAGCAACACAGCAAGAAGACCCAGGACTGCAGCCAATGAGGTGAGCATCAAATATTTTATTGGCTGACAGGTTATTGATTGAATCTCACATTAAAAAGGTCTAAATTCTTAAAGTCTAAAACTTGTTTATGTCTAAATTAAATCAAGCTGTTCCAGCTGCAGTCAGCATTCCCAAAACAACCGAAAACAGCTAAACTGGTGAAAATGTTTCTGTTTTATTATTAAACCATTGTCTGATTACATTTTCTGTAATTCTCCACACAGAAACCTGAGAAAAAGAGCTGGATTAGAGACCACAGAGGAGGACACACCTCCAAGCTCTTCCTGGAAACTGAGGTCTGATGACTTCTCCTTTGTTGCATTGTTTCAACACACGTCTCTGTTCCCTCCCATTCAGATCTAAAATTTTACTGCTGAGTCAAACAGTTTTCAAGCCTCATTCACTGCAGAAACACGTGATGTTTAGATCAGAGCTTTTGTTCTTAGGAGAAGAAACTCACTGAGAGCTGAAATGGAGCAGGGAGGAATTCAACTAGACCAAGGTAACTTCTCCTGTTTGGATCTACTGAAGGATCGAGTGAATATTCCCTGTGGACACAGCTACTGTATGAACTGCATTAAACACCACTGGGAAGGAGAAGATCAGAGGAGGATCCCCAGCTGCCCTCAGTGCAGGAAGGAGTTCAAACCGAGGCCTGAACTGGAGAAAAGCATCATGTTAGCTGCTTTAGTGGAGGATCTGAAGAAGACTGGACTCCAAGCTGCTCCAGCTGATCACTGCTATGCTGGACCTGAAGATGTGGCCTGTGACGTCTGTACTGGGAGGAAGATGAAAGCTGTCAAGTCCTGTTTGGTTTGTTTGGTTTCTTACTGTGAAAATCACCTCCAACCTCATTATGATGTTCCTGGACTGAAGAAACACAAGCTGGTGGATCCCTCCAAGATGCTCCAGGAGAACATCTGCTCCCGTCATGATGAGGCGATGAAGATCTTCTGTCGTACTGATCAGCAGTGTATCTGTTATCTCTGCACTATGGAGGAACATAAAGGCCATGAAACAGTCCCAGCTGCAGCAGAAAGAGATGAGAAAAAGAAGGAGCTCCAGCTGAGTCGACAACAAATCCATCAGAGAATCCAGGACCAAGAGAAAGATGTGAAGCTGCTTCAACAGGAGGTGGAGGCCATCAATGTCTCTGCTGATAAAGCAGTGGAGGACAGTGAGAAGATCTTCACTGAGCTGATCCGTCTCCTCCAGGAAAGAAGCTCTGAGGTGAAGCAGCAGATCAGATCCCAGCAGGAAACTGAAGTGAGTCGAGTCAAAGATGTTCAGGAGAAGCTGGAGCAGGAGATCACTGAGCTGAAGAGGAAAGACGCTGAGCTGGAGCAGCTCTCACACACAGAGGATCACACCCAGTTTCTCCTCAACTACCCCTCACTGCCAGCACTCAGGGAGTCGACACACTCATCCAGCATCAACATCCGTCCTCTGAGACACTTTGAGGACGTGACAGCAGCTGTGACAGAGCTCAGAGACAAACTACAGGACGTCCTGAGAGACACATGGACAAACATCTCACTGATGGTCACTGATGTGAATGTTCTTCTGTCAGAACCAGAACCAAAGACCAGAGATGGATTCTTAAAATTTTCACAAATAATCACTTTGGATCCAAACACCTTAAACAGATTTCTATTATTATCTGAGGGGAAGAGAAAAGTAACATTTGTGAACCATGAACAGTCTTATCCTGACCATCCAGACAGATTTGATGGTTTATGTTATCAGGTTCTGAGTACAGAGAGTCTGACTGAATGTTGCTACTGGGAGGTGGAGTGGAGAGGAGGAGGAGCTGTAGCCGTTTCATACAAGAACATCAGCAGAACAGAAAGACTGGGATCCAATGACCAATCCTGGTCGTTATATTGTGACAGAAACAGTTACACATTTCATCACAACAACATTAAAACTCCATTAGCACGTCCAGTTTCCTCCAGAATAGGAGTTTATCTGGATCAGACAGCAGGTATTCTGTCTTTCTACAGCGTCTCTAAAACCATGACTCTCCTCCACAGAGTCCAGACCAGATTCACTCAGCCTCTACATGCTGCGATTAGACTTTGCTTTTCATTTTCCTGTCCTGATGGATCCTCTGCTGAGTTCATTAAACTTGAATAGTCAGCAGTGATTTCAGGTCCAGTTGGTTAAAATTTCTATTTTAGTTTCAGTTCCTTTTTTTTTTCATTGTTGTTTTGGAGAGATGACTGTTGTCATTTCTTCAGTGTCCAGATGCTATAAATGTCTTTATGAAGCTATTTTATCATCTTGTTGTTTTGTATTGTTTGTATTGTTGGAGTTTGTTTGGGTGCTGCCCCTTCCTGTTTCTGATCTGCAATGGAGGATATTACTCCACAGGAGGATTTTTATTCAGCTAACTAATTACATTTATTGCTTTGTCAGACCAAATGTTGTTGTAAACTGTGATTATCATCATCATCATCATAGGACATCAGTCATTATTTACTGGACAAATATCAGATTCTGGATCAAACTGTGTCAATAGTCGTCTTGTGGCTCTGATTTTAAGCTCTATTTCGTTTTACATAAATATCTAAATAAAGTTGACTCATTGTTTGAACATGAAATGACTGTATCTTATTTTGTATTTTGTTTGTGTTTTATTTGATTTTATTATATGTCAGTAACATTTCCAAATATCATAAGCAGTTGTGGTTTTCAGGTGAGAACAAAGTGAGTAATCAGAGTTTTTGTTACTTTAAGTTGAGATTTGTTTTCTGCCTGCAGATGGCAGGAGTCCTGAACCTCCTGTGGTCCTAAAAAGACACAACAAACACTGACTGTCCTAGCTCTGTATGGACTCTCTTCCTCTTTTACTTGGAAGACAAAGCTGACAAAAGTGTGGTGCAATCCGAAAGATGGCCACCAGATGGCGCCAAATGCGACAGTGTTCCTTAGCAGAAGATATGCTGAAATTACGCAGTTTGTGTTTTTAGACTCGAATAAACATTAACATAACATGTGATCCATTATTATGAAAACCACGTACTGAACAAAGATCGACACAATATCAACTTCACACTTTGATTTATGAATTGTAAATACATTTCTTTAAAACATCTCAGGTCTGAAAGCATATAATAAAAAATACAACAATGTTTTAAAGGGTTTTTATTTTTAAGAATCAAAACATCAGTTCACATTAAACATCAAAAAATATTTATTGATACAACACACAAAAACAAAGAATGGAAAACAATAAAAAAAAATTATTTGGTTTAGAGGAGCATGTTTACTAGTAATGTGACAAACCTGTTAGTTTGCTCAATCACCGTCTCACAGTCTGTTTCGTATCTCTATACAAACTCATTAGTACTTAAAATATGAAGAATTAGTTTAAGTAATCTGAAGAAGGCCCAAATCTCCCGTGATTGTATCTAAAAATCCCACTAATCACCTTGACCAGCATCCAGTCTTTGTGTTTATTTGTTTATTTGTCTCTAGATGTCAGATTTTAGCTCAAACATAGCAGCCAATCTCAGCCTAGTAATAATCATGAAATGATGAATCAAGTTTATTTGTATTGCACAACAGCAGTTTAATAGTATCAAGGATAAAATGAACAGCTTTTCCAACTAGATGATAAACAGATCTCTAGTAGTTCTGAGGACAGTAAAGTTTCACATTTTCCATTAAATGTGGGATCAACATCCCCAACAAAGACTTGTGATTTATCAGAGTAACATTCTAACTTAACCACTAGATGGCGCCCTCCAGTTTTACTTTGACTTGTACAGTAAATGATCACCAGACAAAATAAAAATGCTTAAAATATCAGATTCTGTTAGATATCATATATACCATTTACAAAAGTCAACAAATGAACAAAACATGAATCTTACTATAAATATGGCTTTTCACTAATAACTATTAGTTCTAACAAACACCTTTTAATTCAGGTCCCAAAATGTTTAGTAAATATACATATCTACAGGGGTCTGGACATGGAAGAAAGGGTGAACTAGTGAATTCATTGCTGATCCATAAACTGAAAAACTAGACAGTAAGTGTATAAAATCATAATGAAACACACTAATCTTTGGCTATTCATGTAAGAAGAGTGTGAACGTTAAAATAAGATTCACTGACAGAAATTAAATTAAAAACCTTTTGTTGGCACAAGCTGGACATCAAGTCTGTCAACTTTTGCATGAATTAAAAATACTTTTCAAGACAAATCAGATATCAAAAGCTGATAAGGGACACTAAACTACAGTAACAGCTATGGGTATGAGATGTTCTTTTTTAACATACATGATTCTTACATCATTTTTAAAAAAAAATCTCAAAATGGCCCCAAAATGGTCTCTTTGATCTAATATGAAGGACTTCCTGTTGGGTTTAAGGCATGCAATTTTTTTTTTATCATGGTCCATAGTTCTATACATGTACCAGAATTCATACCAAGACATACAAGAGGTTGAAGAGACTTCAGCTCAGGGGGGAGGATTCATCCACTTTGGTTTGCTTGTCAATGGTTAAGTAAAGGTATTCCTTCATCTTCATCTCCTGAATTGCCATTTCTTCTGTGAAAAAACAGATTTTTTTCAGTAACACCATCTTCCTCTGATTGTTTGAAATCCTAAAGTTACATTATTATTAAGATGACTTGAGTAAAAACTGAATCTTGTCTTTCTTCAACTCCCAGTTTTAGATTTTCAAAAGAAAATCATCATCAAAAAATGAATAAAAATAAAGCAGTAGTGTTGACTTTTTCTGAAATGATTTCTGTTTCATTTGTTTCCAGATGCTTGTTGACAAAATCAGACAATCCAGAAATTGAGGATTATTCAAAAGGAAGATGGAAACATAATCTCATTAAATTGAAAATGTAATGTATAATCAGATGAGGCTTGCCAGATTAGAAAACCTTTTGAATATAACTTCTACAAATGTATAAAACATGTCTTTCATTAAGCCCTAATTTCTGTATTAATGTTTTATTGGTCTGATGTAAAGCTCAGTTTCCTATGTTCAGTGTTCATTCAACTATAAGATGGAAAAGAAAAAAAATCAAAACAAGTTATCTGGAGTTGTTCTGTTCCATATTTCTATCATTTCTCTCTTGTTCTTGTTGAGACTTGTTGTTGCTCAGGCATGGAAAAACTGAACACAACAGAAAATAGAAATCAGTGAACATTTAGCTTAACACTTTATAAAAGAGGTGACAATATTTAATTTTCCACAGCAGTTTTTCACTGGTAAAAATGTTTCATCAAAATGGGGAGTCAAAAGCAACAAATGTAAAATAAAGGCATAGATCATAATTGGTTGGTTTCTTACAACTTTGAAAGAAAATGGGTTTTTTTTCTTTTCATAAAACAAACACATTTGACCAATATATATGTATAACTGTGTGATAGCTGCATAATGTTTCTTCCACAGTGTTGAAGTTGTGGACCCTATAATGGTTCAGGTCTCTGTCGTCCTCCTCCTCTATTCAGGCGTCTCTGATCTGTTAATTCAGAGCTCAGGTCATTTACAGATGGCCTCTTCAGGGTCGCCTTCTACCTCCTGACCCCTGATGCTCTGTTGTCTTGCCTCAACTCCTCATGAACATTTGAGTTTGTTTTTGTACCTCAGCATGCGCTCACATTCACCACAAAGCATTTGCATTGCATCACTGACACAGACATTCACATTGATTTGTAGTTTCTGTTAATATTCCTGTATGGAGACTTTCAGTAATTCACCTAAAACCTGCAAAGAAAACAACTGACTTACTTCGTTCACTTTGCCAATAACAGAGACCAGCGATGATGATGATGATGATGATGATGATGACTGGTATTCCAACACCAAGACCAATATTCCTTCCTGTGACAAAGAGGAAAAGCAGGTTTGTTTGTTTTAGTAAATTATATTTTGTCCTTTGTTTGTAGGATTAAAACAAGATTCTCCTTGTGTCAATATTTACTGAACCACACAGCTGAAACCTGAACTTTATTTTTACTGTCTGTCTGACATTAAATCACACTAAACTTTGCTTTTCAGGTCATTTAGGTAGAACAAAAAAATACATCTTTAATGTTACTTTCTTTAAATTCATAAGTTTATATAGACTAATACTGATGTGCCTAGATCAGTGTTTTTCAACCACTGTACCGCGGCACACCAGTATGCCGTGAGTGATCGTCAGGTGTGCCGTGGAAATTATCCAGTTTCACCTACGGTACCGTATTTTCCAGACCATAAGCCGCTACTTTTTTCCTAAACTTTGAACCATGCGGATTGTAGCCCGGTGCGGTTTTTGTGTGTATTTTTCTTCAACCACCAGGGGGCTCTCTAGCAGGAAGTGAATCATTAGAAGTCAAAATTGTAAATCAAAGAAGAACGTGCTAATTTTCATTTAGAACAGGGGTCCCCAAGCTACGGCCCACGGGCCGGATCCGGCCCGCCTCCTCATTTGGTCCGGCCCCCTGAACAATACCAGAGAGCATTCAGTGTTTTTTTTTCATATATATGTGGATTTTTCTTCAACCACCAGGGGGGCTCTTGAGCAAATATGAAACTTAGTTTCCCTCAATGGAATATATACTAGTCAGTACCAGTCACCGTTTCGCTCACGGTTTTTTTCCATTTGCATTCTGGGTAAAAATCTATCTAAGTTGAGGGCTGTCGATCTGGCACTACAAGAGGGAAATAAAGCCGCTGCACTTAGGCTTGGTGTGAACAAAACCATGGTTAGTAGTGGATAGCGGAGTAATCATGTAATTGTCTTACCACTAGATGGCAGCAGGTACAGAGCATTTTACATTAAAACAAGAGAATTAGTGATGCATGAATGTGACAGGTAAACAGTGAGAGCATCGTATCTAGAAAGACTGTGACGACAGTGATGGAAAAGCAGCAGTAGTTGGAAAGAACATGGGTCCATTTCCCAAACATGACTGTGTGAAGTGAGCTTCTCAAGCCTGGTTACTATAAAAACTGAAACCAGAGAGAGACTGAGAGCTGTTGAGGAAGAGCTTTGTCTTTCTTCAATTTCTGCCAGGAAATCAGCTGTTTTCATCCAAATATTCACAGGTTTCACATTAGATGGGTAAAATATACAGATATTGACATTTTGTACATGGAACTCTTCATATTGTAACAGTGAAATCTTTCCCAAATATTATTGCTTCTTTCAGAATAAGAATTATTTTCTGTATTCTGGCTAAAATAATGCTTGTGGATTAGTTTGTAAAACACTTTGAAGTTTTCTACAACTTCTTTAAATTTAACACCACAGTGTTGTGGCCCTGTTCAGGTGTATTTTTGAAGTGGACATGTTACGTGCAATTTGAAATAAGAAATGTAAAATGTAAGAAAAATACATTTTTGTGTTTATTTGATTCCTATTCAAGACACTTTGATAAGAATGACTATATATGTAGTATAGGCGACTACAGAGTATCTTTGTTTACATTTTTGGTTGGTGGTGTGCCTCGAGATTTTTTCAATTAAAAAAGTGTACCTTGGCTCAAATAAGGTTGAAAAACACTGACCTAGACTCTTCAAACCTGGACTAAATTATTCTGCT